ATTAACCACTGCGTTATTAATGTGTAGCCTACTTTGTATAAGATTAGTAAAGCAGTAGTAGTATTTTTATAAGATATTATACTTGTGTATACTGTAGTACTGTATATATTTTATTTGTGATGCTTACTTTCAGTTATTTTATATTGAGTTACTGTGGCAGGGGCAGTTCATACTAGACCTCTTGTTGATGCAGGAAAAGGTTCATACAAGTACTGTACAGTACTGTATTGGGTGTTCACTTCATGTATGGGTACTGTATTTCACTGTATTGGTCAATCTGTAATACAGTATCTTGCTCTTCACAGAATTTGTTAGGAATAGTATTATTTTTTTTTATTTAAGAAAGCTGGTTCACTTGGGTTTTGTTAATTAACTTGGCCAGACCTACATGAACCCTGAGATAAAATTGATGCAATGTGATTTTGAGATTCGGTACATGTACAGCACCTTTCTTGGTGTGCTTTCTAATTTCTAATACTGTATTAATGTATACATGTACAACCATTCTAAGTTGAAACAGTGGTCATTTATATTCATGTTCATCTAACTACCACCTGCTGACATTTTTAGGACTTATGCAGTGGATTGGGTGACTCATGTACATTACAGGCAATAAATCAACAATTTGACATGGGGGATTCCCAAGACCACTAACATGTGACCAAGACTGAATTTCAGAATAATCATCCTATCCCATCCAACACAACCATAGCCCCCCACCTCATGAAAGAGGTTCTTAGAAGCATCCGTTGCCAATCTGGCTGAAGGCTGAGAATCTATACTGCTGCACTGACACACAGTACATGCACTTTGCCATTTGCTTTTGCTATTAGCTACAAAATAGACAGCACAATAAATATTTCTTCTGTGTTTCCATACTCTTACAATCTGTCTCACTTCAAAAAGCAGGTTTTGCAGCATCTTTGTGGTGTAGATTAATATAGTAGTCTTTTTCTCTTCTATTTTTAATTGCTTTTTACTCTTTATTTTTTCGCCACCTAGGTCCCATTGTGGGTCGATGGCCTGTGCTCGGGTAGCTATTACTTGCCACCTTCCTGGCAGTGCTGAGGGAATCTTCTCCTGGCTTCCTTTATGTTTCGTTAGCTAAGTGTCTCCTGGCATATTTTGGACACTTATCTCCAGGTAGACTGTTTGCTGTGCACTAATATGCTGGGAGTAGTGTTTCTATAAAAGACCTGTACAATACAGTATAGGTTAAGATGGGTTTCCATAGTAAAAGGGGGGGTTCCATTGCCTGTTACATCCAATTCCCTTGTCTATGAATTATTTTGATTACTATACATTATACTGTATATAGTTTCATCATTTGTGGTCTGAAATGTAATACAGAATCAATGTTGTAAGGTGCTGTTTAATTGAATGATGTCACAATTTTCAGAAACTTTCAATCAGAAAGTGGTATCTGGCAGCTACCTGTACCAGACTCGTTTTATTTTTGCTTTTAATTACTCGAGGCGGAACACAATTTTGTTAAATAGTAACAGAAATTAATTAATAAATGCTGAAGCTGTTTTTCATAAGATTATGTAAAAACAAACCTTAGAGTTAAAATATTTGTATATTTTGAAAAGAAATAATATGACATTAGAGATTATTGCTCAAGAACGTTCAGGAAAAAATTTTGGAGTTATAATTGGACTTGAAAATGAAAAGGTATATATTGTGTTAATTGAGTAAAGCTGAAATGAATATTGGATGAAAAGTATGATTTAAAATACAGATACTTATACCTGTACTACGTTTATGCCATGTCTTTCTTTATGAATACTATGTGAACAAATAATCCATATTCATCACCTCAGTGGACTATGACAAAAGCCAGGAAACATCAACAAAACAAAATTTTGAGCTTAATATAAACTATATGCTTAAATAAATGTTTCTTGATACCTTTTCCCCTAGTAATTATAATTATAATAAATTTAATTGTCATTTATATTATAAAGGAATTGTATTATTTAGCACCCAAGAATAATATATAAAACTTTAACATTCCTATTCAACAGTCATTGTTACAGATGAAAAAATAAAATGGTTAAATTGCTAACTTCTGTAAAACCCTATTCAACTCAGTAATAATAAGTTTAGTGTAACAAATACCTTTCATATTAGTCTAAAAATAAAGGAACTTCTAAACAAGGAAATAAGCCATGTGCAGAATATTCTACACTGGAAGTAAGTGTTATCGAATTGTGTTACTGTATAATCTTGGACTGGCTGTCTTTTTTTTCTTCCCCTTCATGCATTTTCTTCATCTTTGAAGCATGGGATTGGGATATAGCTATTTCACTTTTGTTACTCATCTTGAACCCTTTTACTTGCCAAAATATGAGGGAATTACACATATTAAGGTCATTGAATTCTAAATGCTGGGTTGTATGCTTCTCACACACATGACCTTAAGGAAATTGTGGCATCCTGAAGCTTTAAGTTATGGCATTACTGTAGGTACATCTTTTGGAGGGATGCATGCGCATTGGCAAAGGTTATTATTGCATGTTATCCAGACAAGACTCTTTGATGATTGGATTTTGTAGCTCTTGGGAACATGCAAATTCCACAATTGTTTTAACTTAGATTCTGATTAGGAGTGTGATGGCTGCTAATTCCTGGAGCTCTTTGCAACCATCTTTCTCTTATACTAGCTGGCTTTGTGTATGAGAGTTTTCTGATCCCTGACAAATGTTATAAATGAAAGAATGCTCTTTTAATCCTTTTATTCAGTACAGCCAAGTAATGGTCCTCCCTTTGGGTGCTGAGATGAGCTGGAACTGAATGTGTTTTTTTTTATTGTCTTTATTGTAACCAATGATAAAATTGGATCATGTAGCACATACATGATAGCAAAGTTACAAAGGCTCTCAGCTTTCAGCCTGACTGGGAACTATTGCTTCCAAGTTTCCAAATAATTTTAAGGGAAGTTTTTCTTTCTATTTTTATTTTTTAATTATTTTTATTTTCTTTTTCTTTCTCCGTTTCACCATTTCACCATTTATCAGCTTACCAATCCTTTGGGTGAGTGGTCTGTTCTTGTTATTTTGTTATGAGCTTAATTTTCCATTGTTAGTACAGGAGGAAACTGGAGCACCTGAAGGACGCCTGTGATGTATGGTAGGTTAACACTGGATAACACCCTTCTTACATCAGTCCTGGGCTAGGACTCGAGGCCAAGACACAGTGTGTTACCATTGTACCACCTACCACCAACATCCTAATTTGTGTTGGAAAAGCTAGAATATTTTAGGGGACCTTGGTTGCCAAACTGTTGACTCATTGACCTTGCATTAGCTCCCACATCCGTGCTTAGTTTTGAAATTGATTTTCAGAAACATTTTTCAGTTAAGTCACAAGCATTTGGTAAACCTCACAGACACTCCCTTCATGTGTTACTTCTCTTGGTTTAGTTAAAATGCCTCTTCTGATATTTGATCATGTTTAATTAGATATATCTCTTCTATTTCTAACAAATTCTACTTTTTTTTATTCCATTGACGTCCATGATTGGCACTATGCTTGTTCCTCATTGGCAGTACAGTACAATAAATGTAGCTGATGCTTCCTGTGGCTCTATGTCCAGTTCATCATATGTGCTACATGTATTGCTTACTGCTACTTTTATTTTATGCCACCTTTTATAAATTTGGGTCATCTGTAGTAAAGTAGTGCTGTACAGTACTTTGTTATATAATTTTTTATTTATTTATTTTTTTTTGCATAATTTTCCCCAATTGCTTAAAATTTAGATTATTTTCTTTTTCATTTACTGAATCAATAATGCTAATTTTTACAGAAACATGAGAGAATGTCTCCCACATTAGGTGCACTCTCTAATCTTAAATTGGTCATTTTTTTTTAGCTTAAAATGCAGTGAGTTTTATTTTATCCCTTCATTCAACATATAACTCTCTACATCATGGCCAGAATAATTTCATTCTTGTTTCATCTCATGACAGTGTCAGGTGCCCAAGTATGAACCTCCAACTTAACGACACCCAGACACACGAACTGGGTCTAGGAACAGCATCCTCTGCCCTGTTACTAGATATTACCAGGGCCGTACTTGAGGCAAAAGGGGTCCAGGGCAAGGGTTTAATTTTAGGAGCATTTTTGATAATTTTATATGTACTGTACAGTAGTACTTATCTTATGTTACTACAGTACCCATATGATCTTCTTTGCCCAAATTTCTTAGCTCATTATATTTTTTTTCCCAAGATGTATAGGTGTGATAAAAAAGTGAAACTCAAACAAGAACTGTATACATTACAGTATTATTCATTATACAGTTTATTCTAACTCCAGATTTGATAAAGTTTTATCCTATACTTTAAGAAAGAAAAATTGATTAATACTGTACATTTTCTTTATTTATTTTTCATCTAATTTAATGTTACTGTATTTTTTATTTTTTTTTAGTCCTGAGCAGCTAACCTGTTTGTCTTGCCTTTAATTGGGCTGTACATACAGTACAGTATTACAAATTATTTTGTTCAATTACAGTATACCCATGACCTTGTCAATTCAGTACCAAGAACTTATCGACTTTTGACTGTGACCATTAAGGTATCTTTTGGCATTTTTGCATAATTGGTAATAGTAAACCACACATTCACAATGTTCACCACAGGAAATCCCAGACTTTGCACAATGTACCTGTATCAATCATCACAAGAGTACAGTACACCTGTACTGTACTGTATTTTAGTTTATTTGTGGGTTAAATAGGGTTTTGTGGGCTGGTTTGATAAACTAAACACCATGTAAAACATTTTGTCAATGGGCATTGTGTTTTGAGCTTTGAACAAATGACTACGAACAAAATTTTTGGAATGTGACCTGTTTGTACCTCAGAGACTTCATGTACTGTATTTTGTGGATTAAGGTTATGGAGTTCTTTTGACTACTGTACTACTGTAGTTTCAACTTCTTACTAGTATGTCTCATAAGAATTCACCTGTAATGTGAAAACAAAATTTCAGCCTGGCCTCAGGATGTCCTTGCCGACCAACTACCGGCAAGTAGCCATGATGGGCCCGACTCCTACGCCAGGCCCTACACGTAAGTTTCCTGGGTGATTCAGATGTTGAGTCATTGGATAAAGCTACTACATGTACAGAATTTCACTCAGGAATTTTATAGTGAAATCTGATTTTGCTTATTATTGAATTTACTGTACAGTAGTGTATTCAAATCATATTGAAGTGTTATGATAATGAGAGTACTACTTGCAGTATGTTATGAAATATATATTGTGATAGTGTTTGATAACATGATTTAAAGTTTAAATATACAGTATAGAAGTACTGTATTGTCAATTGATGACGTTTAATTCAACTTCAGCATGCAGTTGAGTAAAACTGTACTACAGTATATTATAATGGTTATAGCAAAGCTTACTGGGGATAAGTACAAGAGGGGAGTGAAGGGTAGTTATAGAAAAGTGTGCGTGATATGACAAATGGAAATTGTATGAAAGACTTGGATTTGCGATTCGATGAGATTTGTATCTTGAATCCATTTTTGTGGACTTAAATAGACACACATGTGTTGAGTGAAGATTTGTATATCACCCATTAAGTATGTACTCTGGAGAGTATAGTAGTGATGTTTGATGCTGCTGAGATGGGATGTGAATGGGTTAGTGTTCTGTCATATACTGTAGGTGCTTAGTGAGAACTATAATTAGATTCTTTTTAGCCTGACATGGATAGTCACAAAAAAGGGAGACAAAATTGCTTATAAGTAACAACTCAAAAGGTTTGGTTATAAGTTGAGTGATTTAAAAGATGGGAAACATTGATACTGTGTTCTATCCAAGAAATTTTTAGAGGTTATTAGGTACTAGAAGCTCTTGAAAGGTTATACTGTACAGCATTAGCATAATATGGAGACCTAAGGTCTAATGCACTACCTCAGTTCAGTTAAGTTCTTACATTGTCTTTCATGCAATTAGCAAAACTAATTAGTGACCACTGTTGTTGTAGGAGTCATTTGATGTTGGTTTCTTGAAAATATATCTGATACAGTGAGCAAATATTGTCACACAGTCTGACACATGTTTACAGTATTTGATGAAAATAAATTTACACAATGCCGAGCTGGTTATAATTTTGCTGTACGTATATTAATTCCATTTTGGTTTTACTAAAAAAATGATGATATGAATTATGTCTAAATACGAGAACAATACTGTTTTGCTTCCTTGATTGCAAGTGTGGTAATCAAATACATCTTACCAGATAAATACATTATGTATATACTGTATTAACAGTCTCTATGAAGTCACTCTCATTCCAGCAAATAAGTACAGTACAGTATCTGATTTGATATACACAGTACAGTAGGGTCTCAAAGTATGCCAGGGTTATGTTCTGGGAACATTACATAAAAGCAAATTTTGCATACCGGTATACAGTACTGTACTGTATTCAGGTCCCCCTGTACATATACTGTACTGTATATGTAAAACCCATTTTCTATACTAAAGTAACCCCTACTCAAGGTAAAGAACTGTGTGAACTCCCACAAGCCATGTACTGTAGCCTGTACAGTATAGAAACAGCTTAAATGATCAATAAATGTACAGAAATATTATAAATAGAGATTTTATTAAATCCAAATCAAAGGGGTTTTCGTATCTCGCTTTCACAATGTTTGATGGAGCATACTGATGACTCGTTCATGTGGAATCTCCGTGGAACTTCTCACGGTATGGGCTTTTTTATATTTCTCGCACCATCACTCTTCATTGCTGCCTCGCATCAGCTGTTGTTTTTTGTGTTATGATTATTTAAATGGTGATATTTAGGAATTGCTTGTATTTGATAATAGCTGCCACATTACTGAATCTAAAATCACTCTTACAAAAGTTTTGTCTGTATAGTATGCCCTCACAATTCGCAGACCTCAATTATTCGCGGATGCACCCAAGAATGTCTTAATGGTAGTTTTAAAGTTGCTGGCATTTTTGCAGCCGGTACACACATACATGTACAGTATACAATATACAGGTAAAATAAATACTTGTCCTAAGGGCAAACACGTAAAGGGAATATACATTTCTTTGCACATGAGTAAAAAAAAAATTAAATAAAAATAAATAAAACCATACCTTTCAAGCTTTGACATGAAAATGGCAGCCAATGTAGTACAGTACAGTGTAGTATTGACATTGTACTGTACAGGTACTGAGGTTTTGTGCTATGGGCCTTGAGATTTCAAACCCAGGTCTTCAGTGAATAATGTAGATGCTAGTGCCTAGCGTCGCAGTGATTAGAAAGGCATTCAGATATAATATTATTGGTAATTTCAGTGGGGTAGTCTGTAAAGTATGGAAGGATGAATGAGAAAGGTATGTCAAAGAAATTGTGTAAGTGTGTGTGTACCTTGTGTGACTTAGGTAGGATAAGTAGAAGAGGCTATAAGAATGTTAGGAAGAAGAGTGAACCAAAGGATTGTGCGTGTGCTTGCATATGGAACATGACATGAAGATTATTATTGTGCTCTTCTGTTGTATTTACTTATTTTGTTTGAATGGTGTTGCTGTCACATTGTCAGGCATGTGAGTATTTGTAAGTTAGTGGAGCAAATACTAGTGTTTAGTACCCCTGTAGGGTTTTTATTTTATATACAGTAGTGTACTGAAAATAGTTTCCCAAGAGCCGAGTGACAATGTAGTATACAGTATGTGATACTCTTTCTGTCACAGTGTTGGATCCAGATTTCAAATTTGACTGATGTAATCTTTCAGTTTTTGTAGTTGCAGCCAGCCCTGATTTCAAATAGTCTATAGAATAGTACACCTCATTCTGCAACACCGTATTTTTAATCAATACTATACTGTGATTAACTAATATTTACTTGGATAAATGTATGTTAAGCCAGATATTTCAGCCTATATTTTTTCATGAAATAAAACAAAGTGGTATCTGGCATAGCGTGGTCCGCCTTAATGAGGTTTTACTGTAGTAATTCATATTTTATTCCTATAATTCATCTTAATATTAATTCATATTTTATTGCTTTACAGTAATTCATTCGTCTTAATATAATTCATAATATAATCCTATAATAAACACAGTATTTCTTATAAAATTTGAGGTGTATGGGTGATTTTTTGTTATAATTGTCCATGTGGAAATCTTTTTTCTGGGAATCATCCAAGTGGGATGACAACATTTGCACTGAAAAAATTATTTTTTGAGTGATGTAAGTGCATTGATTACATTGGCCTGGATCCAACCCTCTGTCATGTATCACTTCCTAAATCTTAACAAAATTTACTTTTGTAAGAGGAAGATCATAGGTCCATTGATACTATTTGTCTTGGGGCACAGGTAAAGAGCTAAATTTAAATTTGAAGAAGGGGATCTAGTGCCTAGTTTAGTATGATCTAAAAATTTATTGATTTGAGTGAATGTTCAATAAAGGTTTCAGTGAGTGTGATACAGTAATTAAAGAAAACAATGAACTAGAGACTTAGAGGTGTAAAAGGACAAGCCAGAAAGGAATTGTTTATTGGTCTTCTCAAAATGTTTGAATACTGTATATCATAAACTTTTTCAAGAAAACTATAACAGGTACAGCACATGGTTTATTTAATCATTTATTTAATCATGAAGGGAAATTTTGCAGTTATTAAATTTTCATATTAGGAATTAGATGTACAGTAGAGGAAACACCAAGAAAATATTTCTAACTGATTGTTTTTCCTTTGTCTTAGAATCAGTTGTGCCAGGGGGAAGAGTTAAGGGTTTGACATTTTACCATTTGCATTTGATTCATTAATAAAAACTTTTTTAGTCATTATTCAGAATGGATCACCTTTTGGTGATAAGTTACCTACAGTACGGTATTCTCAAATTCTGTGTTATCCTTCAAATATAGCAGTTTTTTATTCATATAGCTTTCATTTCTTATTTTTCTGCCTCTGTCTTTATCTTGTGTACGTCTATGTTCCTTGTCTTTGATATGACTGAGTGGCATCAGCTTGGCATATATGAGAGTAGAGATATCATTAATTTGGTGTTTATTGCTTATAAAGAGATTTTTCAGTTGAAGCTTCATGATCAAGAAGACTTGTAAAATACTCCTTTGAGGGCTTGTCACTTAACATCTTCAGATATATATTGTATCTTATTACACTTAAGTACCCTAAGTGTTGAAAGTGTTGAGAAATGTTATACTGTAAAATGTCATTTAAGTAATTTTGAAATTATCTTTTATCAAGGAAAGTATTTTTAAAAGGTTTTTGTAGAATATTGTTAAAGTCAAAACAACTAGAAATAATTAGTGTGTCTAGAACAAGCTTATATTTATTAATGTTCCATTTTGTGAATCAATACTGTAGTAGTTATTGCATACTGTTTCAGTTGAGCCCCCCCTTTAATTACTGGGTAACTTTAAGCATTCGTGGTTCTGTGGATTAACTAATGATCAAAGAAAGATGATACGAGTAGGCCTCACATCTAAACCCCCTGAGTGAGCCTTTTTAGCACGTGTAGGTGTAATACATAGTGAGTATACCGTCTTAGCTCCTCCCCCTACCTATTATACACCATGATTCCCCAGGTTAGTGGTTTTTATGTAAGTAATTCCAGCTGCTTTTCTTGAATCCCACCCCCTTATAACTGGCAAAAGAAAATTTTTTCAAGCATATGAATCACAAGGTATTGCTAAGTTACTAACATCTTGGAGGGAAATTTTGATGGTGTGAACAACATCCAGTAGCAGCTGATGTGGTCAGTCTTTTGACCATGTATTGGATGTTGGGTGAAAGTACTTGACAGGACATTACTCTTTTGACATTATACAATTTTATTATTAACATGATGGTAAAATATAGAAGTAGAAGCTCAATTATACTTAGAAACAGAGTTGAAACTTAACTTCATGATGAAACAACACGAGGTCTTTTTGGAGAATTATTCCATTTACTCTTCCAGCACTGACGTTACAGGAAGAGGACAGTTTACAGCACCAATTACTTCAAGTTAAAATGGTACCATTAAACGAACCATGAATGAAACTGAAGAATGACATTAGATCCAAGTTCTATTGCTATTGTTCTTTAAGAAAATATACTTTGCTGACCTAGAAAATATGTTATCAAATATCTTAATATTTCTCACAAAAACTAGTGTAGCATTTCAAGTAAATGCTCTTGATTGTTACTGGTTTCAATTATGTATACTGTACAGTACAGTACAGTATTAATAACTTGCATGATGTATAGCACGTATAAAAATATATAAAAATAATTGTAAAGTTATGTGACTTGCAAATAAGTAGTAACAATGTTTCTTCTTAACCAGAAGTAAGATCTGATATCTTGACCTATTTGGGAGAGCTGGATGAGTGAATAATTTTTTGGCTTTTACATATGTACTGTACTGTACAACACTTTACAGTTTCAGAAAAACATGACATTAAACCTTTTTTAGAGTATGTTATAGAATTTAAAAATCTGTTAGAGAGCCCACATGAGTTGGAATGTTGAATAGAAAAGGGGCAATGCTTTAACATTTCACAGAGTTATACTGTGCTTCCCTGTTAGTGAAAAATAATTTGTTGCCTTTATAATGTTCCCTCTCCACTAAATAAGTGACAGTGTCCGAGGCAAGAATTTAGTCACGGTTTTTGACCTGCCGTGTACATATCAAGGCTAGTAACACTTAGCTGACTCAATTTATGATTAAATTATCTTGATGAATTTAGACCTGTCTCTTATTTTATTATATTTGGTGCATAGTTCCCCCTCATTGTAATGCAATTTAATAAACAAAGAATTCCATACAAAAGTGGAGTAGGTGCTAAAGTTGACTGGTGAGTCTTTCTATAAGAAATACCACATCCTTGAAGTACTGTACTAGTCAAATGATGTGTGAATACTTGCAACCATTAAGCGTGCAGTATACTTATTATAATGTAAATGATTATGCATTGGCGAGACTTGAATCTACTTTCGGCACAGAAAGCGTTTGTTGTGTAATGTTTTTTGTTTTTGTTTTTTTTAGTAAGTACAGTAGTACAATATTATTAGTAGTTGAACAAATATTTGACTTAGCAGTATTTTTTTTTAATTTGAACTATAGTACAGTATCCATCGTTCTGAAGAAAAAAAGAAAAGCAAGTGAGCTTATGTTCTTTTGGAAAATTATCCATATAGAGTAAAGTTAATTGAGCTTCTACTGATTTTGTTTTAATCACTGAAAACTTAATTTGCAGAGAAATATTAGACCCATATTAGTTAACCTTGTTGTTCACCCATCATCCAGACACATGTAGATACTAAAGCCACAGGCTGACTGTTTCATTGCAGCTAACATGGTCTCTTGCCGTTTTGCTTATGTCACCAGTCATCATGTTTTGGAGTTTTCAGTCAGTTGACCATTTTGCTTTATGTGTAGAAGCATTTCAAAGATGACAATAATTGCTTTACAGTATAGAGTAATCACTTTTCAACATTTGCATGATATGGTATTATATTTTGCAAGGTACTGCAGACTTCACATTTTTTTGTAAGCAAAAACCCACGAAGTGCAGAATATAATGCATGGAAGGGGAAAAGAGTTAATGCATGAGGAAGACATCAATCCCCTGCAGGACAGAAGTACAGTGTGCCATTGCTATCCAGGTGCTAAAGAAACCAGAATTTTGATAATGCTAAATATTTACATTAAGAAATTTCCTATAATCAAAATTCTGGTTAACATGATCCCATTTGAATGAGATATTTGCTCAGAATACCTAAAACTTGCATGGTGTACTATATCATTTGCTTTTAATTTGCTTATATCTATATGCATCACAATTAACATAACTTACCATACTGATAACAACATGACTTACTTACCTGTCCTGCAACAATGTTCCAAGTTTGATCTAAACAAAAGTCAGGTATATTTTTCCTGATTTGCGGATGTACTGTATGTGAAATCTTGCACCCTTGCCCATCTCACCTTATTTGTTATGTTGCGAGCTTATTTATACCATTGACCGCTTGCCTGTCTGTTCCTGTAGATGTTTACATGCCCGCGTCACCATTGATGAGCAACATACTGAAAGGTTAGTTGGTTTCCTGCAAGTTTCTTTTTTATATAAGTACATTAATCAAGTTGTTATTACTTATAGTTTAAGTATTGTATATTTATATGTAAGGTGTGTGCTTGTATATTGGGCCATTGATAGGCTGAGGTAATTTTTAAAAACTTCCATTCCAGGACATTTCTCTATATTTTGTTCATAAAAATACTTTTCTTTGTCGTATTTCATTTTCTTTTAAACACAAATTACTGGCAGCAAGTCTGCTTGTATTATGCACCTTCTTTTGATTTGACCCAAATGAGTGGATGTGTTGTGTGATGCTTTTGGACCTTTTTGGCTGTCTTGTGTGTTTCCCTAGCTAAAAGAGGTGTTGTAAGGTCAGCTTTTGTGAGTGTCCTAGCCTTTTGTCTTGAGTCAAGCATCTCTTAATACAGCCAGCCCAAGGCCCCTGACTTGTGTGACTCATAATAGTTAAGATTCAAATAAACTTGAGAATTAGGAAATCGTTCACCTTCATACCTTGTCCCTGGAGGTACCCTGCAAGTACTGTATGCTAAAAATGGAAAAGGCTAAGAGTTTTAGTGCTCAGCATAAGCACAGGTAATTTCATGTGTTCATTTGTTGACATTAAAAGAAAATGAATATCAGGAACAGCTTCAAATCGAGTTGTTCCTCAGTTCTGTGTGGATGTTGTATGCCTTCTTTAACATTACATATATCTATGTAGTTTCATATGCTTTTGGGACACTTACATATGGTGTGTATTGCTACCATCGAATTCAAGGGGTTAGGTTATAAATTTATGGATTTATATTGTGCTGGGAGGGAGTTTACTTTGTTAAACAAACCCAGTTGGCAGATTTATTATGAGGCCATTTCCACCTTATGGTTAGATACTTCTCAGTGTGTTGATCAGCTCATCTATTGTAAGGTAATTGTGTCTCGTATGTGGGGCTGGTCTGGGGCTAATAGTTAAAGAGGATATTCCACTTTCTGAGAGGATTTTTTTTTTGGTGCTGAATTTCAGGAGTTTTCATGTCAAGTGTTTACATTAGGAATCCTGGTTAGGGAGAGATCATATCTACACATACACATTTTTGGGATTTATTGCATATTCCAATGTGTTTATTATTGAAAATATTGGAGTCTTTTAGAGTATTTGAAAGCCTGCTGCCTGGAACTGGTTTGTTCATTGGGAGCAGTTTAATAAGTTTCAGGGTAATAAGTCATTTATTGGCAACCTGTGGTGCAATGGTCATCATACTCGCCTTACAAGTGTATGATCCCAGGTTCAATCCTTTGGCAGGAAGAAACTGTTGGGAAGTTTCTTTAAGCCATTTGCCTCAGTTTATCCAACAGCTATTGGGAACCCTGATGTTCATTGATTTGCGAATTGTATTTTGGCGTAATGGGTTATGCCCCGATAATGGATCATGCAGTGAGTTAGGTTAGGGTGTTGTTAACAGCTCCACCTTAAACAAATTGGGTGCCTCAGGTGGCCTTAGGGCTGGTCACCTTTCAAACATGAGGGGATACATCTTCCTCTATTTAAAGGCCATTGTCCACACTTGTGTGGGTTAGCTACAATTACCTGATAGTGGCTGTAAGGTAAAAACTGAATGGGATGTGTCCCACTGCAAGTCCAGGAAATGTAGCAGATACCAACTCCGGTGACGTGGTTGCCATCAGGCATGCTGGAGCAAAGTTTTATGGCTGGATTCCCTTCATAATGCCAACACACACACAGGGTGGGAACAACTGGTAAGGTAGTATCACAACTCCTTGAGGTAATCAAAGATTACCTCATTGTGGATGGTAGTTATTTATGCAAAGATGCAGAATTTTAATCTTTTTAGCCTTAAGTGCCATGCAGTTCTTAGTTTAGATATGGGTGCTTCTTACTCTGGATATATATTATACTATGTATTGTGTATCTTTAAATTTAAATTGAGTTGATAGAATTGTGGAGTAGCTTTGGTATCCAGGTATTAGACTAGATTAGATGAATGATTGCCTCCATGCAATGACTTGGGTGGTTGTCCTGGGTTGCACTGGGAATGTAAAGAGTCTTTCAGGACCAGTGTTATATCTTGGTTTGTGACTATTTTTTGAATGATGAGGTTCTCTAATTTACAGTTCAAAATTGAAATTAAGGAAATGATTACTGATTAGAGCAGCACTTGCCTCCTGTGTTCAAGGTCACTAGTTTTTGCTTGATCTTTGCATTGGGTAGCTGACTTAGTTAGGGAAGTGCAAGGCTGACCACTTCACCTCATTGTGTGATGAAGGCTTAACCACACTGCCCCTTTGGAAAGTTTGAGTTTTGAATGCCCACATTTAGATAATCTTGTAATATTTAACCTGGGTTATTCTTCTGATTTTCTCACAGTGGGGGGTAAAATTTGATGATAGGGGATGGATATCTAACAGTAGGTGACATGTTGACTCATTTTAAACAATTCTGGAGTAGGATCTTTTTGTAGTTTGTGCTTTCAGGTGTATCAAGGTAGGAAAAGCCTCATGGTGACTTGGCCATGAATGGGAGGCATTTAGATATCCTGCAGGGTTATACAGCTTAAAAAACTGCTAAAGTACTTTCAGATTTTTTTTATATATCTTATTGCCTTTGAATTGAATCTAAAGTGAATTTTGTTCTCTTGTTTTACTTCATAAACTTTTTTTTTTAATTTTATGCTATACGTACTTTCTTGGTGTTATGAAGGGATGCTGTCCTGTTTGTCACTTGCAAATACATAGGGCATAATCTAAATCTATTTACTTATAATATTAAAGAAAAACAGTTTATGAAGTAAAACAAGAAAGTATTTTCCTTAGGTTATGCTCTGACCTGTTAGGTATAATATCATGTCGCTAACACAGAGGATGCCTCATACATACCTGAGAGTCAATAAAGGGTTCACAATGGGTATACATGGTGCATGTTTGTAGCAAGATATAGTTCTCATGATTTTGGACAAAGCTTCAGTGTTAAGTGTCTGAAATCTACTCCTCTTCCTATGATATTTTTTTTTATGCTTGTTTGCCTCTCTTACTCAGAGCTGGGAATGGCTGGGATAAGACAGTGCGTCACCTAATATATTCTTTCATCTAATGTTTATAGTAGTGCACCCCGTAGAAGTTACATGCATTACTTGTTAGTCGAGATTTCTGTTACAATTGCACTGTTACTAAATCTGAAACATTTAACGGTTGATTGTGGTAGTTACATCCCTGACAACGCAACAGCTTAGATCATATGTCCCCGACATTTAATGATGAGCTAAACTTGAGCATATCTGAGCTTTTCATGTTTGTCTGTTTCATCACACATCCTAGGGTGTTTAGTCTTGTGTATGAATATTATATAGATTAAAAGAAGAAAAGCATCAGGTTCAAATAAGTTTAGTTGTCATGCATCAATATCAGTACCACCAGGCGCTAGTGTCTTTCAGTTTCTGAGAGGTGAATTTAAAAAGAAAAAAGGAGTTTGGTAATGCCTTTTGCATCTTTAAGTTGAAGAAATGCAAGGCAATGATAATAGTGATGTACAGTATTGCCATTTATTTTGCCCCCTATCTTTCTTTGGTCTTGCACACTTCAAATTACCATAGTCAGTGATTCAATGATTAGCATACACAATATTAACAATATTTTGTTTTTTTCGTAAATTCATGGATACGTTCCCAACAGTTGGAAATGAGTTTGAAGGAATGATGTTAGGGCAGCATCAGTTAATAACAAGGTAAATGATGAGCTATGGAAACTACTGTACGGTAGTTTACTTTCTTAGGTGTACTTGGTGAATTTTGTAGATTTTCTCAATTTGGGCATGAAGAAGTCATGAGTATTTCACCACTTTGGTAGGTAGGAGCTTAGGAAAGCGGAAGTTCAGTTTACTTTCAAGCATTTTAGCATAACATCTGCTCTTGTGATGATAAGAAGATGACTCCATAGGCACTGATTGATGCAACTTTTAATGCCTCATGTAATATTGTTGATTCTAGTGTTAACTTGTATCTTATTTTATTATTTTAGTGACTGCATTTGTAACAGAAACTTGACTTTGTTAATAGGACTGATATTTGCATTATTGTAGGTAGTTAAAAAGGGTTTTTTTGTTTTGCAATGGAATACTCTTTAAAAAACTATGTTTTTTTGTGTATGAAGATTGATTAGTAAAAAGTGAAATTTTTTATTAAAGTAGCTGTAGCTCTCAGTAGGAGTATACATTAATTTAACTCTCCTAATTCTTGTGAAATCTTTCACCTTAGTGTTGTTCTTTCCCTGTCACATTTCTTCCAACCTCAACTTTAATTCTTTGCTTCTGCAAATACTAAAATAGCCAGCAATTGCTTGGATTAATCTTGTTTTGCAAATTCCATTTGTTTTGGTTTTCCCATCAGATGAAACATCAGCAAATTAGCACATTTTCATGTGCAGTGAACAGCATACTGTACTTTAGTGTTGTGCCTTACAGGCCAGTCATCACAGTTTACTAAAAATCAAGCATTCATTCTAATATTAGATTATTATCATTCATTCTAATATTAGATTATTATCATTCATTCTAATATTAGATTTATAATAAAGTTCCTTAGTTGATTTCCTACAAATGTTCCTGGTTTTCTAAATCAATTATGCAATGCAGATATAGAGTACTGTACTGTACTTGCCAATTTTGAGTGAAAACTACAATTGCGAGACATGCATATATTATTGAAATAACCACTGCCCAAAAGGTATATCTAAGGATATGGTGAACTATACATCAATATACCCTTTGTCATTATGTTGGTTAGTCAGTTATTTCTACGTACTGTATATGGTTATAAATTATATTATGTCCAAGCATAAGCTACCGGGTCAGGTTTTGTCCTTATCCAGTCTCTGCATAGTATACTCTGTTCATCCTCCTCCCAAGCGCAGGTATTACGTCTTATAAAATATCCTTGGGCATGCAACAACCTGCCAGCATTAACTGGTGCTTGATGACACTCCCCCCGTTAGGGACAATTTAATCATCCTCCCCTATTTTTCTCTCTCCCCCCAAGCCACCACGACCTCATCCTCCTCCACCTCTTCTGGAAATGGAGGCTCAGGGAGTTCAAAAGGTAACATTGACAGTCCCATGAAAGCAGCAGCTAGCCCGTCTCGAGCTTATCTTACCTTGAATGTCACCTGTGGTCCCTCTTCTGAATGTTGCAAACTTACTATGAATCCCTTGTGAATGTTATTGCCATTTGCTGGCCACTAGTCATTATTGTGCTGCAACAGTGTCCCCGACCTGTTACCTCTGCCTTTGCTCATTCGGTTGCAAGCACTACCTCGCTGATGATAAGACTAATGATACTACCCCACCATCCAGGAACATGTACAAGTATTATGTGGTACAGTAGAAAAAAGAGGTATTGATTGCATATACTAATTGTTGATTGTGTAGTCAAGCAAAATGTATACATTACATTGTGTAGGAAATACAAGCCTAGCTTGTCTTGCATGTTGCTGTCAGTGCATGACTGCATTTGACCTAGAAAGCAAGAGATCTCATTCATATGGCATGTATTTGTAGTTTAGCTACCATGTATGTTGGTATGTTTTGTGTGTTTTCACATGTCTTTATGCATGTATCTTTATATGCCTTTGTATGCACACACACTTGCATGTTTGTGTGCATCACAAAACACCTTTCAAGCAGGCTTCTTTGTTACTTACTAATTAAACAACTAGTACAGTACAACTTTGCAGTTGCGCACAAGTTTTCAAGAGGGGTCTGGGAAGTGAATATTTATCACTTAAGGCTGAGAGCTAAGTGCATCATGCTGCCACAGCAGCTTGTGCATGCAAACCTTCCCTTGTTAATTGTCACTCCCATTGGATTTTCAGTATCAAACCAGTCTTGCTGTCATCCTGCTTAAAGCAGGGTATATCTGGCTAGCTTTGTTTTAAAACAAAGTTCGTTGTGCTCATCCCCCTTAAATTTTCCCAGGGGATATATACACTAAATAACTCCTGTATTACTTAAATAGTAAGATGAATTCCAACCATTGCTTAATTTTGGTTGGAAAAGTTACTGGCACTGACCTTGTCCAGTGGATAAATCTGAGCTTCACAGTGTAAGTCCTGGAACTCATCTTATCACCTGGTCAGTATTTTTTTAGCCAGATGGGCATTTAATCTGTATGTTGAAAATAACCAATCTGATGGTGAAGCTGAGTTAAAAGAAGCTCTATTATGAATATTGGTTAGAGGCTGGCAGGTATTATTCTCAAGGGTATGTGGCCTTTGCAAAATATTTGCTATTCATTGGGTATAGTATTCTGTGCATTTTATTTCCTAGTGGAACTCCAGAAAATTCGTAACCCTTTGGATGCTCTGTATCTGCAGAGAAAAGAGTCATGTATACTAATAAATGCAGGGCTCAACTTTTCTCTCTGTCTTTTAAAGAGTGCATCCCTCTCCTGCTCTTGTGTGGTAGATGGCCGTTTCAGTAGTTGTTGCCTTAGGGTGACAACCTCACCTATAAACAGTGATCCACTTCGTTGATTGCCACCGTCCATACTGTGATGCATTTATCTTTTTGTCCTCATTTTTACTTTGTTTTCACTGTTATTTAGATACAGTATGGGTGTTAAGGTGTTTAATTATCATAATGCAAAAATAAAGATATAATGTATAAGAATGTAAATGTTCATGAGTTTGCGGCACGTGGCTGTATATGCACATTTAAGTTTTTCCTCTATACATTACCTACCAGTGTCTTTCATACATCATAATACAGTACTAATATAGTTAGTAAATGTACTGTTTTATTTTCTTTACCAGAAATCAAAGGACATGACACAATATTTTTTGATGAAATTTACCTCAAGTCTAGTGTGAAAACTATTATATTTTTGATTTACTGTATAGAGTAAATTATATTGCATGTAGTGCCATAGTATTGCTTTAACATATTTTGACAATATTTGATATAATGTTGGCTAATTTTTAGCATAAAATGAGGAATACATAAATACTGAATTAAAATCTGTTCTTAACATTTCTTCCCTCCTTTGTTGCTTTTAAGAAATGTTAGTGCCAAATATAGAAACTTTATGGTTTTGCCTTGATAAAAAAAGCTAAAAAGAACCAGTTGTCAGTTTTATATTTGACAGGTGAATTGGCACTCCTTGGGAATGCATTTTGGAAGCAAATTACGTGTCAAATATTCAGCTGAAAGTGTTTAGATTATTTTTAATGGGAACAATAAGGTTTTGAGTGATATAAAAAATAACTTGTTGAAGCCTTGTTTGTCATATGTAAGTACCAAAACAATCTGTGTAATGTAGGATGAAAGAATCTAAACTTTACGACTTAATACACCCTCTAATAAAAGTGTTTTTTTACCAGCAGGTACCGTACAAAAACTGAGCGATATATGTTTTGGTAAAAGTTCTTTTTGGTTGAATTCTTATTCAGTGGGACCCATTTGGCTATAGGATCCCATATTAAAAGTTGAGATACATTCCAGCCAAAAATTTTCAACCCAAAACCTTATGGTACAAACTTAGGTAGATGTGATACAGCCCAAAAATATTTGACCCTGAAGCCTAACCTAACAGGATTAAACATTGTCAACATTGTCATAGTATATACTGTACAGTGCATGAATTGGGCTAACATTGTTGGTTGAAGGTGTGATGAACTTCTCTTAAATGTTGTGAAAGTGGAGAAGATGTTTGACAAAAATATCTTGTGATGTCGGTCTGTACAAGTATTTTCTGTTTCTTTCTAAACACATTGTTGTAGCACTCATTGCCTCACATTCTTCATGAATTACACTAGTTGTATGGACTCATTTGGGGTCTTGCCAATTATAGATGTTTTGGGCACTCCCAATGTGCTTCTGTGCCTCAGAAGGGCTGATTTGGTGGCCAGGTCTGCTGTGTCTTGTCCTGCTCCTTTGTGCTTCCTCCCTCACAGAGATTTCTTCCCTGTGGTCGGGTCGGCTATCCAGGCCACCTGGCAGCTGCAGTGGGACAATGTGTCTGTTCCCAACAAGTTGTGGGAGAACATGGTAAATATCTTTCCGTGAGAATGCCACAGATGCCCTGCCACTGTGAGACTGCCCTTGATTGCCTGCATATTGGCCACACTCACCTCACACAGTTTTCTTATGGCTGGAGAACCACAGCCTTATTGTGATGACTGCCTGGTGACTGTAACACTTATTGGTAGTGCCCCGGTCATGTGGGCTTGAAATATCATGGGTGAGTGCCTGCAATAGGATGGCTTCTTTATCTCATTAGTGCTGAGAGGGAGAAGTTCAGTACCTGAAGGTGGACTTCTTAAAATATTAACTGCAATAGGGGTGCTCACACACTTGTAATTTATATGACTTTTAAATTGAATTACAGTGCTGTATTTACCTTATTTATATCATAGTTTTAACAGGCTGCAATGTATCAGACATTTTACCCAATTAATCAGTCACTCTTTCCATTAGTATCATTCTCACCCAACAATTCTCGGTGTTCTTCCAGCTGTACCAATTCATCATATCCTCTACATCTGTTTTGGTGACCATCCGCAAGATAATGAGCTGTAAAGGCTGCAGTTATCCTTTGATCCTTTCCACCACATGAATTTGTGCCAGAATGCCAGCACTGACACTTCCCCTTCCCCCCTACTTCCCGGGAGGGGGGGTCGGCAAATGTTACTCGTGGATTTGGATATTCGCTGCCATTTTGAGAACCTAACCCCCCCGCGAATTTTAAGGGCATGCTGTATTAACAAATTTCGTGCTTCAGCTGGACGCTCCCCTTAAGTTTTGACATAAAATATACAATTATAAAAAAAAAAAAAAGACTACGTGTAATATAATGCAGTATGTACAGTACAGTGAAAAGAATTAACACTATCCTCTTGGTAGGGGTATGTGGTTGTGTCAAAAAACTTACTTTCACTAGATGGCAGTGAAGTGGTGTGGGTTTGTGAGGTTGGCAGTGAGTGGTGGTCTCTTGGTGTATTAACTACTGTATCTTGTACAGTCTGTGTGTACAGGAGTAAGTTAGTAAAATAATAAAGTAAATATAGTGGTAAGTATGTGTATAGAAGTGCTGAGAAGTGTGCATACCCGGTATGTGATGTGATGAGGTGGCTGTGACTGATACATTACCAGGTGCTTGAGAATTTAACTATACCCTGTACTGAAATGACCTATAACTCTGAAATATTTTTTTATTTTCTTTTATTTTCTCCTTTTCAAATCTTATTTAAATCAGCTTAAATTAAAAACTTCAATATCTGTTGTAAATTGGCCTTTTTGTCAGCATTTAACCTTACTGAAGTTATTAAAAAAAAAAGTTTTGTCTATATCTTATAAGCTACTGTACTGTCTACTGTATTCTTTTATGTTATGGCTGTGCAACTGCTTGATGTTTGGCCATTTCCCTCTTCTACTGTGTATTTCTTAACACATAAGTGGTTCCTCTGTATTGACCACTATTTTTTTTTTTTTTTTTTTTTGATATTTACTGGTTTTCCCTCAAATGATACCAATATATCAGTAGAGTATTTATTTGTTTGTGTTTGTTGGAAGTGGAGTTGTTGTGGTGGAGCATGTAAAATTAACATACTTTACATCTGGATTAATAGCCTGAGGTGTTTTTTTTTTTTTATGCCATTTTTTTATTATTATTATTATTATTATTATTGATGCTTTCGTAGAAAAGGAATATAAGTCAGTATACTCTTACCTTCTGTCAAATTAGGTTTTGATATAAGGGTGTAGACATCTGTTGCTTTATTGGCCTTGATGAAAGACATCTCTTTTTGTCTATCACAAGAATCTTGATGAAAATTTAAATAAACAGAACTCAAATACTGTTTTTGATGGTTCATACGTCTTGTATGTCTAGGATAATGGAGTCATTCACATTTTGTATAGTACTTGGTGTGTCTAGCAAGAATAGCAACACCTGTGAATTATTATGTTTGTTTGATTCCCCCATTGGACGTCCTACAGACCGGCTGGCTCGCACTCCCAGCACCCCCTCGTCTACCTCGAAGGGGGTGGGGGAGGCTAATGTTCCCAGTCCATTCACACCGCCCGTTCACGGAAACCCAGCCTTCAACCCGCAGAAGATGGGGACGGGGAAGGGAGGGGTGAGTAAGGTAACTTAAGCCATCGGTGCGTCACTAATGCTTCTAACTGACAGACATGATGAATGCTTATAGTGTTAAATATTTTTAACTTATGCTATATTTGAATATGCTGGTTATATCTTTTGATTTATGTCTTGAATATAAAAGTGTTATTGTGTGAGAACAAATATATACTTCAGAATAATACAGTACAGGGTATATGGGAAATTATAATTTTATGGTACACTGTTGATTGTCAGAGAAAGATGATTACTGTATTCTCAAAACTAGTGTACAGTACTGTATACCTGATGCACCTGATAAAAAAATATTTTTAATTAAAGTGTTCTTAAATAAGATTTTTTTTAAATAATGGGTTTTTAAATAAGAATTTTTTTTTAAATGAAGGGTTCTTAAATATGAAGAAAAGCTCTTGAAATAAAATGTTCTTAAATCAGAAAATCTTGAAATAAAATATTAAAAAAAAAAGTATTAATTGATAAGTTTAGCCGTCTCCTGTACTGCGGTAAGTACACAATTTAAAATTGTGGAAAAGTAAATACAGTACAGTATTTGAAACTTAACCTTAATTAATTTTTTCAAAATAACTTTCTGTAATTCATCAAATTTATATGCTTACTGATCAGAACATACTGCTGGAAGAAAAAAATAAATATGAAGGAGACACTCAAGTACATTTGTTCTTGTTCAATAAGTTGTCAGGGTGTGAACTAAACTGACTGTCTTCACGACTCTTACTTCTAGCAAAGCGGCGAAGGGCGAATCCCGAAACCACCAAAGGCACCAGACAAGCCCCTCATGCCGTATATGCGGTACTCTCGCAAGGTAGGTTTTATGATATGTATCTTACAATTTTGACATACTTAGATATTTTTAATTCGGTATATTGAGTGCAGTACAGTATTCCTGTTAATGGTATTATAGTTTTAATAATTTGCTTTAAGTTACTAATTACTATACACTGTACAGTGGTCCCTCGGTTAACGAGCACAATTCGTTCCAGAAGGTTGCTCGTTAACCGAAAAATTCGTTAACCGAAACCATTGTTTCAATGGGTTTTTTGGTAATTGGTTCCAGCTCACCGAAAATTACATACAAACTAACAATAAATGCAGTAAAGTACACTTACTTTGGGGTGTGCATGTAGAAGGCTCCTGGTTGATGATGATGGGAATTAGAAGTGGGGGTGGAGGAGAAGGGAGAAGAGAAGGCAGTGGGGGTGGAAGAGAAGTCACCCCATGCCACCATTTCACCCATAAAATTTTAGTTCACTTGGTGTTATTCAAGATTGTTTTCTTTAAATTAACACTGCACTGCGCTATATAATATCAATATGTAAAATATATTTGAAAATGACCAATAATTTGACTATTTGGCGTGCAAAAACCTAGTTTCCTGTACTTCAATTATGTTCAATAATTGTTAAAATGACTAAAAAATTAAATATAACACTTTTAAAATTATTGAATAGTACACCCTTCTTGATATTTACAAAATGGTAAGGAATTTAAGCCCTAGAACCGATTACTGTATTGGCGGACTAATACTACAGCTGGTGGGCAGCCAAATGCAGGCGAAAACATGTTGGGAAAAATTCTTAAGGAATTTGTTAACCGAGGGTTTGCTCGTTAACCGAAGTGAAGAGTCTTATGGAAGGTAATTCGTTGACCAAAATTTCATTAACCGAGGGATCACTGTATTTCAGATTTTTACCTTTACTTCTGCAAATCATCTTTACATCCACTCATACAGAATCCTTGCCAAACAGGTTGTTGTTATACATTACGTACTGAATATCTTTATGCAGGTATTTTGTGTATCTTTGAAATAGTACATTTTTCTTCTTTAACTATAAGGACACAAGACCTTTCATTTCTGTATAGTAGAGAAAACAGCATTCAAACAAAGGCTCCCTTGAACATCATGGTGGTTCTGGCTACAATTACAGTAGTTTCCCATCTTACACCGCACTCCTATACCTCATCACTATATGTAGCTCTTCTTATTATCTTGTTCATCTGTCTGTACCTGTCATCACACACACAGTTGTTATTATTTTCATATATGTACTGTACTTTGTATAACGTGTGATACTGTACCACGGAGATGTGCCATTTCTTCATATGGGAGCCATCATATGATATTTTTTACTTCATAACAAAATTATTGGCTGTTTTGAATACAAATATTTATGGGCAATGGATACAGAGGTATATAATTTTGTAATTGTCATTACAGTACAGTACTGTATCTGGGTTTAAATTTTGCAAGATTTTATTCAATGATGGTGATGGTTTTATTTGACAGTACAGTAATTGTAAAAAGTACCCCAAAATTACTGTTACATAATATCTTTAAGTAGTTAATTTGTAAGATATATAGAAAAAATAATAAAGATAACATTATATGATATGTATCTGATATTGTATGGACATACTGTACTGACCACAAACTTTTGATGGATTATATGCAATAAAACCTGATGACTATTGTTGTTGTATTTCCTGTTACTGCTATTGAAATATTTACTTTATTGTTGATGTTTTGGAGTTAGGTGGCAGTGTTACTGTTCCTGTAAATTGTCCCAAGTTTCCAGAATTTTATTAATAGAAGGCAACATCCTGTATGCTCTCTTCTTTTATTTTTGAGGATTACATCCTTGAAGATGGAAGGTTTAGCAGGCCTGGGTATGACATAATAGCTTGATCACACATGGTAGTAAGTTAGGAAGTCCAAGAAAAAGCAATGAGAATGTATGGGTGAGGAGGTCTCAAGACAAAATATTGCTGATTTATATTGGTTAGACATACTGTATGTTGGTGTGTGTAAAGAATTTTTATCCTAATACACTTTATATATATATATATATATATATATATATATATATATATATATATATATATATATATATATATATATATATATATATATATATATATATATATATATATATATATATATATATATATAACTATGCAGGGTGGCCAGAAAAAAAGAAAGAGCCAATACTCTCACTGATCTTACCTACACTTACTATCATTCATCCATTCATACCACTGTTAAGGAGTGTGTTCTGCTATGTTATTACCATTATCAATCAAGTTACTAAAATATGGTTTTCCCCAGTTTGTTTACTCAAGCCAGCATTATATGTTGGCAATACATCCTATATCCTTTCCCCAATCTTTCACAGTGCCATACTCACACACTGTTTCTTGCTGGGTATTTATCCCCCTTACTTATATAGCATCCTTCAACTTATTCTTTCATCTCCTTGGTCATCCTTCTTGGTCTTTCTCTTTCCCTCTTTTTCTCCTTCTTGGTCTTTCTCTTTCCCTCTTTTTCTCCTTGGTCTTCTTATCTCCCTCTTATCTCCTTCTTGGTCTTCCTCTCTCCCTCTTATCTCCTTCTTGGTCTTCCTCTCTCCCTCTTATCTCCTTCTTGGTCTTCCTCTGTCCCTCTTATCTCCTTGGTCTTCCTCTCTCCCTATTTTTCTCCTTCTTGGCCTTCCTAGCTCCCTCTTATCTCCTTCTTGGTCTTCCTCTCTCCCTCTTATCTCCTTCTTGGTCTTGGTCTTTCCTTCCTCTCTCCTCTTATCTCCTTCTTGGTCTTCCTCTGTCCCTCTTATCTCCTTCTTGGTCTTCCTCTCTCCCTCTTATCTCTCTCTCTCTGGGTCTTCTCTCTCTCTTATCCCTTCTTCTTCCTCTCTCTCCCTCTTATCTCCTTCTTGGTCTTCCTCTCTCTCCCTCTCATCTCCTTCTTGGTCTTCCTCTCTCTTCCTCTTATCTCCTTCTTGGTATTCTTTGCAGCCTATTCATTTTACATTCTTCTCTCAGGCTTTTCATTTCTAATACTAATCCTAATTTGCTCCTTTTCTCTTGCATCCAGTCTCCATGTTTCAAAACTGTCCCGCTATATATCCATTTTGCCTTATTTTGACATATTTTCCTCTCACTCAATCCACCTGTTACTTTCTTTACATCTACTACTGTACTCATCATTCCATCCTCCGACACATCCTCTCAATTTCTGCTTAAATTATCTCCCTTCTAGCAATAAGGTGTTAATCTATTTCTCTTTTCTATGTTTTTCATATCCTCTTTCAGCTATCTTATAGTTCACACGTTCACTTTTCATTGAACTCATTAACAGACATTTGTTGTTTTTACCCACTAGAGCAGTGTCGTCTGGTAACAGCAACTGACTCGTCTCCCATTTACTGTACCATCCTCTACCATTATTCACTAAACTTTAAATTTTCTCAGTCACACTTAATTTTACCTCTAACTATCCTATCCATGAAAATATTTTACAACCATGGTGACATTACTCATTCTTGATGATGTCCTGCCTACACAGGGATCCAGTTTTCCCTCTTTCTGTCAAATACTGACTCATGCTTTACCCTTGTCCAAACATTTTCATTAACTACTGCTCTACAGAGCTTTTCTATTGACTCACCATATGCTTTTTGCAGTCCTAAAATGCCACAAACTAACTCTTTCATATTTGGAAAGTTTTTCACTTGTGTTCTTTATCACAAACATTTGATTCAAATATCCTCTTTTTTTTTTCTTTTAACCCACAATGCTCTTTCAAAAATATTCTCTCTTGTTGGTACAGTTTTTTCAGGAATTACTCAACCGTATCCTAAATAGGTACAGTATTCTCAGCAGCCTTATTTGCTAATAATTTATATATACTGTATTCTAAAATTCCTTTACTTTTATTCACAGTCTCTTTCATTCTTTTGGTTCCTTTTTCTCTGTCATACATAGCCTGTATGCTCATTTAATCCATTCTTTCACAATTCTACCTCCCATCCTTAGTATTTCAGTGGTGAGTCCATTCATTCGTGGTGCTTTAATTCAGGTGAGTTGGGGACAAATGAGTGAAGTAAAGTCAGTAGTGTTCAAAAATGTAAAAGAAGAAATGGCACTCTTTTTGAGTAATAAAATTTTGGGATTTTAACCCTTAAACCACATCTAAGAATTCACCGATCTGCTCCTGTATGTGCAAAAACTGGAATACAGGGAACATGAAACCTCTGCTGATGTTGGCCTGTGTTTAAGGGTTAAAGGATTCTGTACCTAAGCTACCTAATTGGCTTAACTAAGTAATTAATATTTATCAATAGTAGTATATAAAAAACAGTTGATCAAGATAAAACAGTAAATTATATGTTGGCATGATCAGTTTGCAGTTGCCTCCACTTCCGCCTTTAACAGTAAACTTGATCTCCCCGAGCATTCTTTCAATGCTGAAAAGATTCCCAGCCGAGCGAAGGGTATCAATGAGAGTGAATCAGCAAACCTCATGGTATTCAGTTGAGCTCATTTTGAGAGTCTAAATCAGTGTAGAGAAGTTCTAAATTGTCGCCTGGCAGTGAAAGGGATATATACACCAACTGACATTTGTCACATACTTTATGTGAAACGTGCATTTTGTTATTAAGTAATATTGTTGTCTAAAGCTATTTGAAACCAACAATGTTTGTTTCAAAGCAGTATTGTGAGATGGATGGACCCTGACTCACAGTCCACTCCTCCCAACTGCTTGCTCATCTGCTCTCTAACCATCACCCCCGCACTGCATAGTTTGCATCGAGTTTTATTATATAGTCTCCTCATTTTGGTAGTGCGATTATCATTATAACAAAGAATCAGTTGAGGTTTGGTGATTCACTGTCATTGATATGCCTCACTCAGCTGGGAATCTTTTACAGTGTGACAAATTTCTTGGGAAACCAAGCTCATTGTTGGAGGTGAGACTGGAGGCAACTGTATGTAATTTATTATAAAACCAAAACCATATTTCAACATTGGTCAAGCCATATTCCAAATTCTGGAAGTTTTACTGTATGTTAGTGATGATGTCTAAACAAGGAGATCACACAAAATGACTGTGGTTATGTATGTATTATCTTTCCTGGTGGGTTGCTTACCACATAACAGTAGGAAATTTAGTTTGCTTCATGTTCCTAGACAGGCTGGCTTCAAAATAACGTGGGCTGCTCAGGATGGTTGTAAAGTTATAAATGATAGATTGATCCGGAAATTCCAATGTGTAACTGAGACTGGACTGTGAGTGCTCTTTTACCCTCTGTCCTCCCAAGGTTGTTATGATAGTAGACTGACACAGAAGCATGGTTTATTGTGGTGGACCCATGTTATGACAATAAAGAAATGGAGTGATGTAACTGCTTTCCTTACAATAAAGTCCATGTCTTCTTAGTTCAGTCTCACTTGTACAGTAGGATTTCAGGATCATTCTATTACATGTATTATGTCAAATTGAATATGCAAATTTAAAGGCCCTTTTCAGGGTGAAGACACTAGTGGGAACATGTATTTTGTGTACTACTTCATCATCTTGTATATTTTAGGCTGATTTTTTATATGTATTCATTTTCCTAATGCTTTTATTCTTGATTTTGTTTTCTGTCTTTTATTTCTCTTATTTAGAGAATATTGTAATCCATGAGGGCTTAAAGGGGATCATAGTGATGCAGACAAGGGTAATGATGCAGTTCCATCACATTTAGCATTATCAAGATAACTTCCGTTACCTCAGCCTTGCTATGATGACATTACATGTCTTTGTGAAGTTAAACAGGATATAAAGTAGTTTTATGGCTACATTTTTGGGGGATATCCTCTTTTGTTATGATTTCCCCTCCTGTAGAGATGCTCATTGTTTATCATGATGTAATTTTCATGAGCTATTGTTGAATTTCTGTCTATACAGTTATTCACCTTTTCTCCATGAGCTCACTCTTGACAGCATCCTGCTTTCCACATAATCATGTGTTCCTTGTGTTTCAGGTGTGGGATCAAGTGAAAGCTGCAAACAATGATCTCAAATTGTGGGAAATTGGGAAAATAATTGGGTCTATGTGGCGAGACCTACCTGAAGCGGACAAGCAGGATTTTGTTGATGAGTACGAGTCGGAGAAGGTAAATTCCTTCAATATGAGATTTATTAATTGTGATTAAGATTTTGTGGAGGATTGGAGAAGATAGCATTCAATCTGATATTGTAACAACCTGGTGGTTTCTTGAAAGGGATAGTAATTTATCTCTTAAAATTTGTTGCTTTTGGAAACTAAGCAATTACAGTTGGGGAAATATTATTATTATAGATGCAGATAACAAGAATGCAGTAAAACTCATTTTTTCTTCATGGTTCTTTAGTTTTCTCATGTAAATTTGTAGTAAGCTGAGGGAAGTTTATTTCTAAATGTGGATGCATGATACCCTAATACCATGATTTAATTTAAGAGTCTTGTTGCCAATTCATATGCGTAAGATGACATCTTGGCAAAAAAAAAAGATGAGGTGAAATATTACAAGGTATAGGATTATGAACTTACAAGTTTCGAAGTTTTATTATTATAGTTACGGGTACTACGGATTGTACCTGGGCCTCATTGAATTGCTCAAGTAGTGCTAATATGTTTCTCATAATCTTTCTTTATTTATAGCTTATCATTGGTCCAAAGAGGTTCGTGTATTTACAACACTGATCTTTTTGTAGATTTTGCAACCCCAGCTATTACTGCTGGCACTAAGCAAACAATTAGCACAGTCACTCCCATTATATCCCTAGACCACAGTGAAGGGTGTGGAAGGTGACAGTCACCACTCAGGCTGAGAGCTAAACAAATATTGGTGCTACAGTAGCTTTTGGATATCAGTCTTTCCATATGTCATCGGCCATTTTGGATTTCCAGTAACAGCCACGGTCTAGTTGCTCCATGGTGCAAGGTGTTCCCTGGATAACTGTGCATTATAAACAGATTTAAGTTGTACTTGCATCTTATAAGCAGATGGTTGTCAGGCCCTTGGAATTGGAAGAACTGGTTTAAGACTTAACTTTGGGTTATAGGAAACGCAATAAATTTTTTCGGTTTAAAGTTTGGAAGGAATTTTCCTCTTGGGATCACAGTCCTGCACACAATATTTGTGACTTTGATTGCCTTGTGCTGTTCTGTGTATTAGATTGGTATGTAAGAAAACCTTTCTGAGGGATACTTATTTTAATGGATAGGGTTGGATTATTGAATGATAGTAATGATATTTTTAATATGTAATATATGTGCATAAAGCTTGACTGGGTTTAACTAAGTTGGCTATGTTAAGTGTTGGAAACATTAATTTGAACCTATGCCATAAAACTGTGTTACATCCTCCATCAAAAGTGCTTTAACCAGTAGATCCATAACACTGAGCCTTTCCCCAGGTAGTGCACTCTAGAGGGAAAGTGGAATTTTAGTTTATGCCCTGGGGCTTGTGCAAACAAGGGAAAGCCTTAAATGGGTCCTCCTCTGCCTCACTTCGTAAGATATATAGGAAAAAGGCTCAGAGTAACACCCCCAATGAATCCTTGAATTGTGCAGAGGAGTTTGGGTATTAAGTGTAGAAACTTTTCCTGTAGGACTTCATCTCAGTAAGGAAAGGGTGGATCTGGATCTTCCCAGTCATAGTAGTAGTGTGATACCTCTTTGGTGTCAGTGGAGGCACTATCATAAACTATCATTTGATGTTAAAGAAAAATTGGAAAACGACATTGCTGCCCGTGGCTATTTTAAGTTCCATGATCGGCATTCTTATTTTGGGGGATTTTCTGGGTAAGTCTTAGTGTTTTGATAGGATTAGTCCTGTTTTAGTGATAAGAGATTGCATTCCCATTCCCAAGTGATCTTCAAGGAATCTGAAAGAGTTCTGCCAGATTTCTCAGAAAATAGACCTGTAGTGTTTGATCAGAAGAGGATTTCTTCTTTTGATTTAGAAGACTCATTTAGGATTTGAGTTGGTTACAGGGGAGGGGGGGGGGTTGATAATTTTCTGTCAGTCTATTGTATTATGGAGTTTTAGGATGGACTTTTTGGAATTAATCTCCATGGCTAAGTTTGGTACTTATATTGCAAGCTTCTTAAGTAGAATCCATAAGGCATTCTAATGGATAGTTTGAATCATTATGAAATCATATCCAAGTGTACATTTGATTTCAGCTTATTTTGTTATGAATTAAGTTTGATAAATGACCAATTGTTTGGTAGCACATTATTGGCATATGCTGTAAGTGTGCCATAACCAGGTTACTATTTGAGGCTTTTTTTTTTTTTAATTTATTTGTTAAGTGATTTAGTACTACCCTTGATTCTTCACTTTGAACTGATCCTCAAGGTTATTGCATGTCGGGTGATCCATACTGTAGAACATCTTGTCAAGTTTCTGGAGTCAAATAGGGAGAGGAGTTGAAAGAGAGTTGATAATTTCCTCAGTGGATGTTTTTAGTATGTTCTTCCATCAGGTAGATTGGTACTGGAGATTCATGGCAATAGAAAGGGATCTAGTTTTATGTGGTTTGGGGCTTCTCTTAGTTGGGCTAACCTTAAGCTGAATTTTTTTCTCTTACCTTGCACTGAGCTCCTAGTTTTAGGCTTAAAGACATTTACTTTTTGGCATGGAAGAAGGATGATTGATCTCATTTTCTATGACTAGTTAAGGGAGTTAGTTATTATCATAGGATTGCAAAGTAGCTCAATCAACAATCACTGCCTTGTTTGCAAAACTAAAGGAGTTGGAGCTTCTAAAGTCTGTACTGTATTTAAAGATCAACATTTAAGATGATAAGATTTACAAAATGGGGCTGCACTCCAAAAAGTGTGTGATCTTGGGCTTCATAGCAACATTAACACTTCTGAGAGGAATTTCCCATAAGCTGATTCTACAGAGGGGTGCCTGGTGTCTGGCTGTTACCTCTGAGTGACTTTCTGGATGAGAAAAGGATGCAGGGGTAATAATGTGTGTGGCAATGGGAAGTTTGTAAGGTTAGTTTACATTTTTTTGGAAGGGAAATTCATATCCCTGCATGGTGTTTGGTGCTTAATAGAACTGGAAATATATTTTTTACCACATGTGATTGGTTATAGATCGGTGCCCGATTCAGTAAATTTCATTTTATAGTAGTCAGGACACTCACTACAGTGATCCCTCGGTTAACGAACGCCTTGATTAACGAAATTTCGGTTAACGAATTACCTTCTATAAGATTCTTCACTTCGGTTAACGAAAAAATTTTGGTTAACGAATTCCTTACGAATTTTTCCCAACATGTTTTCTCTTGCATTTGGCTGTTCACTAGCTGTAGTATTAGTCCGCCAATACAGTAATCGGTTCTAGGGCTTAAATTCGTTACCATTTTAGTAAATATCAAGAAGGTTGTACTATTCAATCATTTTAAAAGTTTTATATTCAATTTTTTAGCCATTTTAACAATTATTGAACATAATTGAAGTACAGGAAACTATTTTTTTGCGCGCCAAACAGCCACTCAACACACCAAGCTTGGCGTCAGTTTGTTTAACGGTTCAGAGGAAGGAACATCTTGTTTGAGATTCTTCAACATAAATGCTTTTTTCTGTGTTTCCAGTAAAATTTTTGGTCATTCTGAAGTTTATTTTACATATTGACAATATGTATTGCAGTGCAGCCACTCAACACACCAAGCTTGGCGTCAGTTTGTTTAACGGTTCAGAGGAAGGAACATCTTGTTTGAGATTCTTCAACATAAATGCTTTTTTCTGTGTTTCCAGTAAAATTTTTGGTCATTCTGAAGTTTATTTTACATATTGACAATATGTATTGCAGTGCAGTGTTGATTTAAAGAAAATAATCTTGAATTACACCAAGTGAACTAAAATTTTATGGATGAAATGGCAGCATAGGGTGACTTCTCTTCCACCCCAATGCCTTCTCTTCTCCCTTCTCCTCCACTCCCACTTCCTTCTCTTCTCCCTTCTCCTCCTCCACCTCCCACTTCAAATTCACATCAGCATCATCATCCAGGAGCCTTCTACATACACACCTCAAAGTACAGTAAGTGTACCTTACTGCATTTTTTTTTTTACTTTAGGTAATTTTCAGTGAGCTGGAACCAATTAACCAAAAACCCATTGAGACAATGGTTTCGGTTCACAAAATTTTTGGTAAACGAACAACCTTCTGGAAAGAATTGTATTCGTTAACTGAGGGACCACTGTACTGGAAATCTGAGGTGGCTGATGATGGATAGGGAGGAGTTCTAATGTACAGGCTGATGTAGCACAACACAGTGGCTCTATTACCTATAAGCTTTAGGTTAGGTGGTAACTGTTGTCTCCTAAACCCCACTGTGAAGGTTAGTGTTGTGATGGAAGAAATTATACAAAGAATTTGTGATTTGTGCTAATCATTAATGTCTGAGGTTGTAAACTCCAAGACATGATGAGTTCTTACAGGATAATGTATGTTATTACACATGAGAAGAAAATAAAAACTATCTAATATGTTGACATACATTAAATTAAGTATATAATTATATATGTGTGTGTGTGCGCTCATGCGTGCTTGCATGTGCGTATGTGTGCACCTGGAAATTGTGTGTGTGCGCACCTGGAAATTATGTGTGTGTGTGCATGTGTGCACGCTCTATCACCTGGAAATTGCGACACTACTCAGACCAAAATGTATCTACAACTGCTCTTTTGGAAAAGTGTGCATTACCATTACCTGTACAACTACTTTTGTACAGCATTACCTTAGATGAGCCAAAGTAACACGATCTAAAATAAACCTTAAAAGTAAGAGCCCTGTTCCTCGGCCATACTAACACTTTTATTAATATTTGTGATATAAGAAATACTGTACAGGTGTAATATTATTCTGAGTTATGTTGCTGAAATGCTATATGGACAATGTTAAAGTATGTAATTATGTGTACAGCATACATTACTGGACAGTACTTCATAAATTTTGAGAGGTATAGCTGCAGCATGTGATGTCACATTCTCATTTGCATATTTGAAGAGGCATTTAGAGAATTATCATTGACATTACTGAAGCTCATAGTAAAACTCATACTTAAAATTTGTGCAGTGATATAATCCAAAAGTGTTTTAATAAAAATAGTA